CTGCTGCTAGGGGTCTTTCAGTCTAAACCGTAATAAAAGTTGTAGTTTAATGATGTTGTGAAGCAGCACAGGATCATAGTGGTTTTTCTCGTAATTAGCACCGCAGGTGAAAATCTGACGTGACTCAGGCTGAGGTAAAGTATTGACAACAATATTGTGTGTGGAAGCAACTGTGCAATGCAACCTGGTAGCGTTTCAATGTGTTTTGAGAGACATTTGCATAAACTTGAGATCTAAAATAAAGCCAGATTCAGAAGATGCTCATCTTATGTCTCACTTCCAGTGTTTTCAAAAACACCTTTTGGGGTACTGCTTCCAAAAAAACTGCCATCCTGGTGTGGTTTCAAAACCAGCAGCAGACAGTCCCTTGAGTAAAGCATTCATCCAATCAGCTGCAGCCAGTGTTTGCGCAGTTGTAGGAGGGTGTAGTCTGTTAGTTTCCCGATTCAGGGCATCTCTAAATCATCTATCATGACACTGCCTAGTCCCACGCATTTTAAGTGTCCAGTGCTGTGAAGCGGAGCGACCCGCAGTGTCCAAAAACCATGGACACGTACCATTAGACAGGACTGCCTGCATGGTTTCCTGAGAGGCAAGACCGAGGGCAGGAAAAGTCTTGTGCTGCTTGTTAAATTTATTGCTTTGAGCACGCGCCATAACAACTGAAGGTGACTCAAATGTGTGTATCAACATTTTTATCAACTCAGATCATTTTTCATCTGAACTGTGATTGCTGGACAACAGCATCAACGTTAAGAAAGACTGTTGGATAAAAGGACAAACGCATGTGTGTACATACAGACATTAACATAGTACAGTCGTGACTCGATAATCCGACACTAAATGTCGGCTTGTTAAGACAGAGGTCGAGATACAAGGGGGCTTGATGCTTGAAGGGGTGGGGGGGCACTTCCACCCGGGGGTGTGCACCGACAAGGTGGAAGTGGTTGGAACGCACAGGCAGTACTTGGGTGCTGATGCTAGTTTAGGATGGCGGTCCCAGTTCTGTTTCAACCATCAGTGGCGGCGGCGGTGGGGGAGTGCCACTTCCGCCGCCACCATCCATGTTTACTTCCGTAAACACTTAGCACGCTCACTGTGTGCGACGTCGTTGTGTCCTCTTCGGATTGTTAAGGGTCTTCTCATCTGACTCTTGTAACACTAGTGCTGAGGCTTTCAAGAGCAATTTATTTGTCTTGTTTGCTGTAAAAATATGAATTGAATAAAAAATGACACATTTTCATAAATATATACATATCCCCAGTACAACAAAGCTTCTTCAGCCAGCTTTAGATGCTTGATCAGATACAAAAATCTATCGATTTAAAAAAAAAAAAAACATCACCACTTACAAAACACCATGTGATACCAGGCACTAAAAAATGATGTTGTGTAATAGCCATTACAGCCAATTCACTTAATAGGCTGTTTCTTCCTGCATTTTGCTGCAGTTGAGTTTGAATGGAATTGACCAGAGCCCATTTTTCACAAAATCATCAGCTATGATAAAAGCTAAGTAGTGTACTTCTGTGGATCCATGGATCATTGCCACCCAGTCTTGCAGTAACAGTAATTTTCAATTCCACCACACAACAAGACAACCAAGCAAAATGAGAATTAATAGCAAAAAGTACAGCTTTTTTTGGGGAATAGTTTAAAGCGAGCGTGATGTTTCATTTGTCGCACTAAATGCAGATTATTTTGTAAGTATGCATTGTCATAAATGTGACAAAAAGTTGCATCAGAATGTGCTGTTCCTCAGCATATGTGCAATGTGATGTTTTCAAAAATAACATCTTTTTTTTCACAGGCTATTTTACTTATGTGGCTAGCCTTTATTTGGCAACAAATACTGAAAACTGTCAGAACTTCCTTCACTTGATGGAAGCCTGCCTTCTGTGCATTTACGCACAGATGAAGTGCAAGCTGCTATCTTGGCAAGTATTGACAATGCATTTTGATCATCTATCATCTTTGATTTTCATTCCTGACATTTTAAAGGCAGGGCTCTAATCATAACGCCTACAAATTAAGCAAATGTTTGTTGAATCCAATGTACCCACAGCTTTAGGGGTTTATCCTGGGCAAACACAGATTAGATCTATAGGAGTCTTTAGTTTTAAATATATAACCAGGAGGGAGACACATGGTGCCACACTCTGAGAAGGCAGAATGAAATGAAAACAACTTCATGCATGAATAAGGCTCGTGCCGGCCCAAACTCATCAGAGTGTTGACACTACAATGCTTCTCACTCTGCCTGCTTGAGAAATTAGTTGAGTTCCAAGCTGTAATTATTTTAGTCTTGTCTTTTCGACAACATTTGAGCCATTCAGATGCAGCAGCAGTGGCACACCTTCCTTTCTCCTCACTTCATCTGCCGTCTCACAGCCCACTTTAATTATCCATGAGCAGGATCTCTTCACCTTAATAATGCTTGCAGATTCTATCCAAGTACAAAAATCGCCTTTGGCTGAGATGGTGGGGGTTTTCACCTGAATATTTTCTGAACTAACTTTACAGAGGTGTGATCTGTGGATGATCGGCACCAACCGCAGCTGCTCTGTGAGCACAGGAGCGGATGGCGTACAAGGGAGCAAAAAAATATTGTGCCACAGGAAGACCATAGAAGCGCACAGTTCAAAGTGTTCATCAAAATTCACACTCTGCGAGTTCAGTTTGCAGTGCCGAAGCCAACCTGCTGAGCTGTGCTGGAGGAAATCTATAGAAACAAATTAACTCCACGTCTGTTGGTCTGGGCATGTGCAGAAGATAACAGGCTTCAATTACAAAGCTCTTTCTCCTAATTGAAAATGCAGCTAATAGCTTAAGTGCTTTCTATCTGGGATAGCTAAAATAATGTGCAGGGGGGCGCATTGGGTGCTGGCATTTACAATATGCTCCTGAGTGTGGGTTTGAGCCCTGCAGCAGCCTTTTCGGATACAACATCTCTCCCACTTTCATCTTTCTTGACACTCGGCACTGTGTGTATTCAATATAAACCGAAAAGCCTTCTCACATGTCGGTAGAGATTGTGCTGCGTTGCTTGCATTGTGATGCAAATAGCCCGAGACACTATCATTGCACATCATGAGCTTCTTGTACTGCAACCTATGCTGGATTCTGATGCAAATAAAACATCTAATAATTATTATTATTATTGTAATACTCTATTGGGTCCAATAACGGAGCTATTTGTGTCAACGCACAGATCTAACTTAAAGATTCTCAAAAACCTGCAGGTGGTTTCAATAGTCTCCAGCTGTAGCATGTGCTCTTACTTTGAATTGCAGTGTTTGGCATGAAATATAACACACACACGCAAAGAAAAAAAAAATCCCATTACATTTTTAACAACTCAAGCTGCTCCCTTGAGCTGTAGAGGGCAAGGAATAACAAAGCTGAGGGAAGTCTCGGCTCCTTACCTCTGATGGGCTATTAGTTATTCTAGCTAGCAGAAGCCCCATTAGGTCTGCCATTTAATGTTCCCACGCCACATTCTCACATGAAAGCTACAAGATTGATAAGTCGACCATCTCACCTCCAGCTTCCCTTGTGTTGAGAAATGCTCTGCCACAGATAATCTGACAAAGAGCTGATTTAGCTACCCGCGTACCTTGTGGTATGTTGGCATTACTGAAAACAATGAAACTCTCCCAGCCTCTCCAGTGACTTTAGCAAGTGACACAACAAGAAGAGAACCAGTGCAACAGTACAAACCACCGACTAATAACATGGTATATGATTTATAGGCTCCACGTAGAATACAGAAACTGAGCTGTGTGGTAGTGAAAGGTAAAACTTTGTCTCTGAGCTGTGTTGACAGATACAGTGGAGAGGAAAGGTGCCTCCTGTAATCCACAGCATGTCTGGTGGGTGTTACAAAAGGTGCAGCAAAGATTCCACTGACACTACAACATGTCCTGTTAATCACACTTAACCATACTGTCAAAAGGGGGGAAAAAAGCCGCCGGACAAAGGAAGACAGATGCAGGGCATTAGAGAAAAAAAAGAATACACAGGCAAAAAAGCGCCTAATTAAGCATGAGCAAATTGATTAGTCTTTCTGTCAAGGCTTTCTGTCTCAATCCCTGTGCTGTACAGTGGCTCAGAGTCAGTCGTGTGGAGGAGACTGGCTTGAGGATGAGAATTTCAATTTGAACTCTTTGGAGGAAAGTTTCACCAGTGTAGCCGAGCATCTTCTATATATTTCTGAGGTTAAACAAAAGCATAATGCAGTTTCTCACTGCAGTAGTACACAAATGCCAGAGAGAAACCCAACCCAAATGCATAATTTAACTTTTATTTGGCTGCAGGCCTTTATAGTGTTCCCCAGCCTGCGGTGACTGTTTGAACTTTGTAAATTAAACTAATGACTAAAAACCTAAGTACACTATTGCCAGAGGCAGGAAAACAGGATGTGATATACGATCAGCTGCTATGATTGTAAATATTTACACATTAAATACAGCAGAATACAAATATCAACACTCACATGACTTGTATATTTGCTACTACAGCTGTTGTAGCAAACACACAGGATAGGAGGGGACCACCTGCACAGTGACTTGATCTAATATATTTTTATCATTCCATTCAGGACAGCAAGCCTTTTGTGAATAAATAAAAGGCAGGCCGATAACACACAGATTCATCAATGAGCTCTTTTTATGTCAGGAATGAACGATGAACCTACTTTGTGTATAATTCATCTCGCTGTATGTAAGTTACCCAGGAAGAGGAGCTGCCACTGCAGTTTCAGCTAATGGGATCATATTTTAGCAATAAAATTGCATGATTCAGAACAACAGCTGGGTAATCATATGGAACAGAGCAAACCCAGCATATTGCCAGCCAAACAAGTCACCATGCACTGACCTTTGCCTCCTTATCCCCACACAGACAAGAGCACAGGAGAAAACAAGTGTGTTTCCCCACAGATTGTAAGAAAATTTACCTCTCATGCCTCGCAGTGGAAATGGATTTTTGGGGGGCAACAGTCATACCTCGCATTCCCTGGAGCCTGAGATGGTGTATGTGTAAGGTCCTGTCCCATTAACCAGCACATCCATAGTCTCTGAGTGTGAAGGCTTGTAGTCCACATAGTACTCTTGCAGTGGTGAATTAAGGGAGCGCTCAGTCTCCCGTGCCTTTTTCTGGCGCTTTTTAACTGCTGAGCGCTGCTGAAGCTGTTTGATACTGCTGGGATAGCGCTTCCACGAGACATATATAACCAGCAGAATTATAGCCACAGATAAGAAGAGGGCCACGCTACCAGCTATGATCTTGTGGAAGGACACATACTCGGTGTCTGGCAGGGGGATGGTGGGGGAGGCCTCGGTGGGAGTCGGGGAGGCTGTCCTGTTCCACATCAGCTTTTTATCCGCCACAGACTTTGTGGTAAGAGGCAGCAGCTCAGGTGGAAACGCAGAAGTGAGGGGCGCTTTCGTTGAGGGGATGGGGGTCGGCGTCGCTGTGCAGATGTTATAAGTCTCCACCACATCAGTAACTTTCTCTCCTTGGGCCTCCTTGGGGCTGGCACAAATCATAGTAGACTCCTTGTTGCCCTTAAAGGCTTTGAGCCAGGACACCAGAGGACAAATGTTGGGGTTACAGTACCACAAATTGCCAGCAAGACTGATGGTGGTGAGCGAGATCCAAGCCTCCACTGTCTGCTGAGAGACGTTGCTGAGTTTGTTGGAGTCCAGGTTGAGAGTCTGTAGATTAGGCAGGCATTGAAATGTGCTCGGATCCAACATTTGAAGCTCATTTCCTGACAGGTCCAACTTTTGCAAGGAAGTCCACATCCACGGCAGGCCCTGGGTGAGCAGTTTGATACGGTTCCACTGAAGATAGAGGGCCCTCAGGTTAGTCAGGCGTGGGAAATGAGCAAAATTTATCTTTGAAAACTGGTTATGCTCCAAATGAAGCTCGATGAGCTTCAGGAGTCCTGCAAAGGCATTACGTGTGAGGCTCCGAAGCCTGTTGTAGCCGATATCTAGAAACTCCAGGTTGCGACAGTCGAGGAAAACTCGCATGGGGACAGTTTTTAAGGAGTTTGACCTCAAGTGTAAACTCAGCAGCTTCCGTAGACCCACAAACTGATTCGGCTGAAGGACCTGCAGCTTATTGTAGGAAAGGTCAAGGTTACGCAAGTTGGGGACGTCGTGGAAAGTGTTGTTTTTCAGCTGTGTGATCTTATTCGAGCTGAGAATCAGTTCTTTGAGCCTGCGTATGCCGTGAAAAGCCTGGCCGTCCACGGCGTTGATGTAATTGTGGTCGAGGTAGAGCCAAACTAGTTGACTCAGGCCTGCGAACTGGTGGGCTCTGAGGTTCACCAGGCTGTTGTACCGCAGGGACAGGCCCTGTGTGCCGACAGACACGTTGTTTGGCACGTCACGGAAGGCATTGGATTCGCAGTATATTATTTTCCCATCACATCTACAGCTCAGGGGGCAGGGACGCTCGCGGATGCCACTGGGAACAGCGAGCAGCCAGGCAGGCACCACCACTGTGAACACAAGCCATCTGAAAAGCACTGAAAGTCCTGCAGACACACAGAAAAGTAGGAGGTTGAAGAGCACACACATGATGCACAGACAGAATGAAAATCCACAGAACATACATTTAATTGAATCAGCCACACTGTATTCATTTGTTAACAGGAGGTTATTTGCAGCTCAGTAAACCTGCATCCCTGTGTTCATGGCAAATCCACACACACACTTATTCACTGTCACTATCAAAGTCACGCTCTTGAGACACTGGAAAGGTGACTGATCAGGCATAATTTGTCAGATAGTTGATGAGGGAAAAAAGCCTCCCTCAGATCCCCTCCAGCCTACAGCCATCATTCAAACACCGCAGGGGGGGCAAAGACAGCAGCAAAAATCAGCTTTAAGTGAACTGTAATTAGGCAAACGACTAAAGACTTTGCGCATAAACGAAGGCTTTAAGTGTCAGTGTATGGCGGGTACGTACCCATGTTTGCGCGGTGTCGGCTCCTCCTCATGTTCGGGGCTCTCTGTTGCATGCGTCCCAGGTCCACATGTTAGACGCACTCGGCGTTTTGCCCAAATAGTTGGACCCTCCACCAGGACACCCGTCTGCGCGGAAAATCTACGCACTTTGCGCCGCAGCCAGAACCGCTCCGCTCACAGCCGCACACCTGTCGGAGAGGAGAAGCAGCTCCAGAAGGTGTGCATCAACCTCTGTGTGTAGTTTACCGCACAACATCAGCTTGATCGTTCATATTTTATTATGGTTTTCTCCCTCTCTCTCTCTCTTTCTGACTGCCACCTTACAAAAGCCCTTGGAGAGGACGCGCTCAGGCTCGCAGCCTCCCGAGAACGACTCTGTTTAACGCGTGTCGTGGGAGGCTGATAAAATACATCCTAAAACAGCGAGTCGCCAATTGTTGAATCTGGGTTAAGTGGCAGGAAAAAGACACTGGAAACACGACCAAGTGCAGAAATTTGACGGGAAACTGTGGTCCAGGCGAGACAAGTTGCTCGGTCTCCTGCTTCAGGCGCGGACAGCGGAGAGAAAAGGCGCAGTCTGTTGTGGATTACACACGTTGACCGTGGCATCAAGAATAAATCAGTTGTATAGCAACAGGAATGATGTTGGTGGAGGATTATACAGAGCTCAGTGGAGCTCGGTTTCAGGACTTGAGATGCCCTCTTCTGGTCACTGAGTGGCACTCCGCAGCCCACACCAAACCACACTTCATTGTTCTCATGGACACAGCCTGCATATCAATTAAAGCCCCGGAATGGGAACACTGTTTGCTCTGCATTTAGATAACTGTGAAGATGTTCAGCCAGTGAAACACGCCTCTGAATAGCCAGCACTTGAACATCTTTAGATCAAGCTCAAACACCAAAAAATGCAGCGAAATGAGAGATATTATGCAACTTTTATGTCCTAAATTTTAATCACAGCCACTCATGACTTCGTAGCACAAGTAGAGGCAGTTATAAACCTAGTTATTGTTGCATTATGCAATATTTGATATGTTGCTGGACTAATATTATTAAAGTGTCAGCATTTAAGCAGCCCCTGGAAGCTGGAGGTGGTTGCAATCAAACTTATATTTCCTAATGCTAATTAGAATGTATCATGTTTTAGAAGTCCATCATAGTTTGTAGTATGTAAAAAAAATCTCTACGTGGTGATTAACTATTTCAAATACATGTAGATGATTAAAAGGCAGTGGGACACACGAAAATGCAAATTTTCAAGTATAAAGAAAAAATACCTCAAAAATAATCTCAGCTGCTTCCTTCACTGGTAATGAAGCCTAATTATGCAGCAAATTTCACTTTGAGCCTGTATCTAAGGAACTATTGGGAAAATCTCAGATATTTCTCGTAATTAGTTCTACAGCAGGTGAGTCTCAGCAGAAAGGTCAGCTTGTTAAGGCTAAGTTTGTCTCATAACAAGGTACACAATGCACACTGGGAGTCTATAGGATGCAGGTCTCTGCCTTTTGAATGAAGCTGTCAAACATTTCTTAACATTTTTCTGTATTTTCTGACTCAAAGTCTTGCAGTAATAATTTATGTGGTATTTAGTTTGGTTTGATAAAAAGTTTCCAGTCTTCCAAAATATGACAAAGTCAAGAAAACCCAATTGATTACAATTTCACCTCACACTGTTGCGTATTGACAGTGAAATTTGTCATGCGTAAACAAAGGGAGCTCTCAAGGCTTCATAATGGGACTTTGAGTCAGGGTCAGAGTCATCATTTCTAATGGGTCCCTCTACCCTGCACTTAATGAGTAGCGTAATTACCAGTAATGGACATTAATGAACATTTCAGCACAAATCACAGATAGTTTGTGACAAAGAAATGGCTGGAAACAAAAAATATAAGGGATGCATGTAGCACTTCAGCTCCAGCCACTGATTTAATTTCCATTGTTAGATCAATCAGCTAACTGGAGTTGAAGGGCAGAGCAGAAATTGACACACGCGCACACACCCACACACACACACACACACACACACACACACGTGCACATCTTCACACACGTCAAGGTGACTGCAAGAATGGCAATAACAATTACACACCTTCGAATGTGGCCTATCTATCAGTGTAGCTCTCACTCCTCTGTGCCATTATATGATCCTGTATGATCACAGGCGCCATCATCGCCTGCTGATGCTTCAGAAACATTCATTCATGTACATTTTGTTAAACTGAAATCTGACATGGTGTGGTGCACAAGATTAAAATAAAAGAGAAATATATTTATTTTAGGGAAGACATACACAGTGGAAGAACATAAAATGTCATCACAGAGCACAGATTTACAAAAAGGATGATTTTACCTGGTATTTGTTATCACAGACTGTATAAGAAAGTCTACACAGTAAATAGGTTATACAGTCCATGTTTGTTATCTGTGGTAGAATTTGTACAGAGTAGTTTGTTTTGTTGTTGTTGGTTTGTTTTTGTTTTTTTACCATTATGAGAGCAGTGACTTATTTTGCTGTAATTTAAATTCAACTGATGGCAAACGTTCTGTGTTAGGTGTCAAATTTTATGTGAGTTATGATGAGATATCACTGCTTTTCTGGTCATACTTACATATTACTTTTTTTTGCCACTAACACAGCTCCTGCCAACTTAGCTGTAAGTTGAAATCAACTTTGCAATGACTTTTGTCTAACAGAAATTTTATGTTTTTTGTTTGTTTTTTTTTTGGATTGTGAGATTTTTATATTTTTTTTTTTCATTTTAAAACATTTCACTTATTTTTCTAAGGTTTTGGACATACAGTAAGTGTATGTTACGAAGCTTTGAGAGATCAATAAAAGCTTTTTTGTTTGTTTTGTTTTGTTCTTTTTTTATAAAGGGTATGAATAAGGATGTGGAAATATTTCTATTCTCTCAGTCACACCGGCCAGGAAGGTCAACTCTGCTAAAAGAAGCACAGATGCATTTTATGAAGTCTAAAGGGCACAAAGAGAATGTGGCTCATGACAATGAATCCCTGTCATTCATTAGGCCTCCTCTACACAGTATAAAAAAATACATTTAAAAATAATGGTGTCATCCAGCCCATTACCCTGTACGGCAGAGAGCTACGGGGTCACCTTAGTCCTGCTCGGACAAACATCTAACAGAATCTTAACTTTTAGAATTCAGCACAGACAAACACCAATAAATGCATGTAGAGCAGAGTTAAGGAGATATCCACTGATAATTAACATTCAAAGGAGAGCACTCAAAGTTTTTAATCACCCTAAATCCAGCTCCCTAGACATCCTCCACTCAAAAGCCCTCCAAACCCAGGAGCTGAGCCCAGTAAAGAGTCCCTTATGCCAGTCTGTGCCGAGACTTACTGCCCCCCCTCAGACACCCTGACCAGTCTGACAACAACACTGCTCCATCAACACCAGTCAGAGGAAACCGAATCAGAACGCAATGTAAAGACACTTATTTGGAAACATTAGAAACTAAAAGCCACAGACGATGAGAATGTTTTCTGGCACTTAAAAGAGATCATGAATAAGCAGGTTATTTCTTCACTGTCAAAAACAGATCCTAACCGAGTACAGGCTCAGTTAGCGCAAACTGGTAGTTGGAAAAGACAGACAACCAGAGGAGAATGTGTAGTCACCTTTCAACAGGTGAGATTAAGACAGAGGTACATTTCCTCCTACGATGTAAAATATTCAGTGAAATAAGGAGCAACTTCAGCTCTGTCATTTCGGGGGTTGATGAGCTCCTAAAATTAAAAATATTCATAAGAGAAGCAGACAGGACGTATCCGGCTGTCCAATATGTTTCAATATGCCAGAACGTGAAGGACAGTGAATGACTTCAACATAATATACTTTACATATATACAGTAATCAGCCACAACATTAAAACCACAGACAGTGACGTAAAAAAAAAAAAAACTCACCCTCTTGTTTATAATGCACTAGACATTCATGGGGATGTCACTTTCACACATACGTACCATGTAGATAAACGTAGATAAACGTACCAATGCGCCACACCTCACCACAAAAACTGCTCAGGAATGACTCGAGGAACACAACAAAGACTGGAGCCAAAGATTCCTGATCTCAGTCTGATTGATCATCTGTAGCTGTAGGATCCAACCCACAGAGATCCTGTGTCCAGACTCTTTGACAGCATGATGGGGATCTACACAAGGAAGCTGGTTTTAATGTTGTGCTCGATCGTAATTGATATATAGCTCGATCTCAATGCTGTATTAATGTTTATATTCCTCTTACAATATTAGATCAGTTGTATTTTGATGCTTTGTCAATATTGTTGCCTGAACCTTTCATGCCAGTGAAGCCTATTTGAACTGCACTGAATTGAATTGAAAATCAATTAATTCTTTGTCTAGCAACAGCATCCCTCAAGATCTCTTTGTATTTTTGTTGGCAGGTCCTCTGTAAGATGCATTTTTTTGACCAGCCAGTATTTTGGGCGATTGTAAGAATGTAACCTTGAAACTAAAAATAAAAATACACACGTCTGTTGTTGCAGCCAAACTGGCTGTAATTTTTAAGAGCCCATTGCATAGTTCCAGTCAGTCCATCGTGGCTTTAATCCACCTTAGTCTCTTTTCGCCTCCGTCACCAACTAATAACAGGAGTGGTCATTTTGATTTATGGATATATGACATCCAAAACAAATATTCAGACATTCTTTTGGAGGAAAAAACAGCTCTCTCCTGTCATATTTATAAATCACAGCACGTTGCTCCTCTGCAATCATCTCATGCTAAGTCCCTTTAAATTCCCTGTGGTCTGTGCATCAATTCTTATTTATGTTGTTGAACAAATCTGACATGACCCACTTTCACATTACACTCAGTTTTTCTGGGTATCTGCATTAAATGGCAAATACAAGCAGTGTAGAGATGCATAGATTAGTAATTCAGTTTCGCTGTATATTTATGGTCAACTTTTAACGTCGTAAGGATTTTGACTACTTCAGCTTCTTTTAGCTCGATCAGTGCTTTCTTGATTTTTAATGTTACTTAGAGCTGAAATCTG